TCATGGTGTAGCGTTTATGAGGAGCGACGTGCTAACCGATACAGAAAAGGTTATTTTAACCCATGACCATCTTCAAGATTTATGAGTCCAGAAATACGGGCTTACTGAAAATATATTCAATACAGGCCTTAAACCCAATATTTCGCAGGATATGACAACTTATTTTTTGAGTAGAGGATTACGAAGTCGATAGCAATAAACAAAGCAAACAATATCATGCATAGAAGCAACAAGTTTATGAAAGAAAGCAAGAACTTCCTCTATCTATTAGATAGAATTTGGAAGAGGGAAAGAGATGCAAGGACTAGTAGGAGAAGAGTGTATGCCGTCTGCAATCATATTCATATCCTTGTCATACCTAAGCTTTATTCATCTGCAAGTATTTATAATAGGCATGAGGTAACCAGCAAAATCTATGGAAGTATAATAATAAGGGGAATTTCAGCTGGCCACTTTTCCTGATTTAGTGTTATGGCGAATTATTCCGAACTAATAATGTCCGGCTCTAATGATATCATGACAAATAAAAGTTCAATGCGTATTCATCGGCGCCACGGGATTGAGCTAAGGTCTTCGTTGCCCAATTAAGTAGCTAAAAAGCTATAACGGTCCTTCTACAATTGCCGATGCGACTGATTAGCGAATTATTTCTGTCCGCCTTCTAAATAAAATGAAAGGTACACCAACTAGTTTCGCTTCATTCGCCTTTTAAACTGGGCTGTACCTTCTTGTTGCCGGTGGATATTTTGGATAAAAGGAAGGATAAAACTCTTTGGTAAAAACGAATCTTCGCTCTATTTAATCCCAACCACCTCCTCGCAGATTCTAGTGAGCGAACACATAAATTAGTTATTGAAAACTTGTTGACAAAATAATCGACTAGCTGACGTAATGCACATCAGTCAGAGAGGAAAAGAAGCCTAAACTAGCCCCTTGCATTACTCTCATAGTAACTTTCAGTTCTGCCTTTGGCTGACACTCCGATTGACTGACCTTTGGCTCTCGCTCGACACCTAAACACCTCGACTTCATCTGGAGTGATCAACTGGCCAAAGGTCGCTTTGACCGTGACATCTTCGTTGATGCTGCAGAGCATTTCATCGTAGCGGATCCTTGGTTGACTCGACTTCTGCCTGCCGATCGGACAGCAACCACAACAGGTCAGAGCGCCGCCCTCTTCATGGAAGCCCTTTGATCGCCACTTGAATCTGGTTCGGATAGTATGGCTTAACTTCGTCATCTGCAGAATCCAGGCCAGGTTAAGGTATCGTAGTATTGTGTTGCGCATTTGGAAGATGTCTGCCGCGTACTCACTCTTATCGGCGTTTAGATAGGCCTGCACATAAAAGGCCGGCTTTGACATCCAAGGAATGGTATTCACGAAGCTCCACCACCGTCTGAGCACAGTGGAGACGAAGAAGCCTAGTAGAAAGGTGAGTGGCACAATGGATGCTATCTTCTGAATATAGTTGACGAAACCTTCAAATGACCGCTTTGAATTCGGAGACTCGGCGAAGACGAACCGATAGAGCAGGCTGACTAAGATGTAGAAGCCCAGATAGGTTAGGATGTCGTAGTAAAGCTTCTGCCAGATTGAGCCCTTCCAACGAAGCAGCATCTTCAACAATAGCATGCGCTCGTTTAGAGCGACGTATGCACCGCGTTTGTCCTTCATCGTGTCTGGCTGGAGTTGAAAGGGTAGCCGCTTTCGGAAGTGTTCAGAATTTGGGTCGTTCTGCTGCTTTTAGGCCAAAGTGAAGACTGGGCAGAACTCTTTGGGACAGGAAATGTATGTCGCCCGGTGGGTGACTTCTGCCTCGAATGGCTGTCTTAGATACATGTGATTTAGTATGAAGAATTACATGGAGGTTAAAAAAAACGTCGAATTTTAACAAAAAATGTTTAGCAAGAACTGTCGAGGAATGTGCCAGTCGTGGGTGCTATTGTCGATTGGCCTTCTCCATTGCAGTGTTGAAAGCAAGTACACACAAATTTAGCAATATTAATGCAATTTTTCCACTAGCCCGCATGAAAATAGTCGAATCGCAGAAATAAGAATGCTAGCAGATCTATTTCCATAGTTGATGGTACTAAGATGTGGGGACGGAAAGCAAGCAACAGCCCTTAATCAGGAATAATAGTCGCATAGGTTTCCTAAATAGTGGTCTCAGTGAATGCATCTATATTAATACGTTTCCCTATTGCAGAGTATGCTGATGAAAAAGAATGTCTTGAACCAGCTCCAACCTCAAATAAAGGAGATTTCGTGTGAGAGCACATGTT